TTTGTTCCCTCCGGGAGCAGCGGGGTGGCCTCACCGGTGTGTCCCCCGGTGCGCCGCGTCCAGGGGCTCCATCCTGCATCTCAAGGGGACGGGGACAGCGTTGCTGCGAGGGGGTTTGCTGGAAGGGGCAGGTGTGTCCCAGGGGAAGGTGCAGCTCGCCGGGCGTTTGCAGCTGTGACCAGACATAAGTCGTGTCCTGCCCTTCGGGGGAAGGCAGCAGCCGCCGGCGTTTGAATTGCTGCTGCTGAGCGTGGGGGGGAGGACGCGGCCTCGGAGGGTGTCGGGCCGTGGCCGTGTTTGATGCTTCTGTTTCTTGGTCTTGGGGAAGGGTCGTCGCAGCTCCTCGCTCGAGCCGGCGCTGTGCGAGCGAATCCCCTAACTCAACGGCTGCCTGTCTTGGATTGTCACTGGCAAAGGTGGGGACGGCCAGAACAGCCTCAGCCGAGGGCGCTGGGGCTCCTGCGGGGCGGTGAGCCAGGGTGGATCTGGGACGTGGCTGAGACCCCACGCCAGCACCCGGGGGGGGTTGGGGAAAACCAGAGAGCCGAGCCCGAATTCTGGGCAGGGATTCATTTCCCTTTGGTATCGACCTCCCTGGGAGAGATGCTTGTGTCTGAGCTACCTGCCCCCAGCTCCCCGCAGCCCCACGGAGCTGGTGCTGCCCCTGCGCTGCACTGGGGGCACGGGGCATGTTTTGGCTCCGGAATGAGCTCTGTCAACAGAGACAGCAGTGGAAAAATACACCCTGAGCCCCTTCAGGGCTACCCCCACCTCCAGCCAACATTCCCGTGAAATTCTCCGCTGCCTGGCTGTAGGAGGTATAAAACCAAATTAATAATTTTAATTTGCTTGGCTGCTGCTGGCAGCTGGGGAGCTGGGCTTGGGGGATCTTTCTTGCAGGATGTTCTCCGGTTGCCACCCTTGGCATCTCTTCTAAGGAGCAAATGTGACACTTGCCTGGGTTGATCTGGACTCTTCGGGAGCGCAGTGGTTTGGATCGGGCAGGGTGCTCCTGCCAGTGTTGGAATTGCGGAAGAAGAGGCTGCGGGAAGGCGGCCTGACAGTCTTTTGAAGACAGGGAGTGAACTCTGTACAAACCCCAGTTGGCCCCTAAATCCACGCGGACATGAGCTGTGGGATGCTGCCAGGGACAAGCGTCCTCCCAGCTTTCTGCGTGGACGTACCGCTGCCTCCAGTGGGCTCTGGGGCCGTGCAAGCACCTGATGATCATCCTGGTTATCTTCCCGAAACCCCACCCTCAGTGGGGAAAGTCTGCAAAGTGGATGGCTGCTTCTCCATCACTCGGATTACTTTTTTTTTTTCCTGTGGCTGTACATGAAGTCTATTGATGCAGGTTTCTCTTTGGGATACAGCATGGATCCTCTGCGGAGCTTGGCAGCCTTGGGATGGGAGGGCCCAAGGATTTTTTTCCGCTGTGGCTTTTATTTAGGATGTTGATTTCTGTCGACTGATGGAGTGATTTCTCCTCCACATCCCACAGCTCCGAGCTGCCTGGTGAGATGCTGGAGGTCTGCCTTCATGTGGCTCCTCTGTAGTTACCTCCTTTTCCCCTAATTTACCATTATACCTTACAAACTGTGTTTAATTGCGGTAGGATAATTACAGGTGATGTCCTAGAGCGTGGTTTCAAAGTGCTCAACCCCCTGAGCTGGGCACAGCCAGCAATTTCCATCCTTGGTGCCGGTGAGCTGCGCCAACATGGGTATTTCTGTGCCTGCTGCGTGCAGGCTGCCAGCAGAGAGGGACTTGCAGAGCAGATAATGAGCTTGGCTGGGCTGGGCTGGGCTGGGCTGGGCTGGGAAGGTCACCGCCGATATCTCATTACTTGCCCTTGTGGTTTCATCCTCTTATCACGGTACATCAGTGTAACAAAAGAAGCCAGCATGCCAGCTTGGGGGAGTTTTGGCTGGCAGGAGGCTTCAACTTGAAGCTGGCTATGAAGGCGTCAGGGCAGGGTCTGCCCGTGGGCTTTGTGGCCGTGGTTTCTGCCAATAGGATGTTGCAGGGTGGAAAGAGGAGCTGAGCTGTTTCCAGAAACTGAGGTGAAAACGCAGTGCAAAGCACCCTGAAAATCTGCCGTGCCCTCTTCTGTCTCCCCGTGCCCATCCAGACAGCCCCAAGGGCTTGTGGCTCTTGTGAGGAGGAGCTGGGTGGTCCCTGTCGGGTTGGGGGGGCTGTAGGATGGGAGCACAGCGTGGAATTTGGGGGGACAGGACCCTGCCACCTCCCTGCCTGCAATCACAGAAACAGCAAAACGGGGGGACCTGCCGCGTTGCTCCAAGCTTGCAGGAGCCACGTTGCCCATGGTGGTGCTGGGGATGTGCAGAAGGCTCTGCCTCTCTCCTTTCCCAAGGCCATTTCCATGGTACAGCCTTCATGCCGTTGCAGTGTGGTGCTCACAGGGGGGATATTTACTGAGCTCGGACAGGAAGGTGTCTCCGTCGCCCTGACAGCACTGCTGAGTCGCTTCCTAGAATTGCTGATGGCCACAAATAGAAATCCAGAGGCTGAGAAGCTGATGCCGTAGGACAAACCCACGCTCAGAGCTTGCAAAAGCTTTTTGGCTGGATTATTTCTGCCTAGCAAAACTGGCTGTGATTGCATCTTGTTAGAGAGCCTTGATGGTGCTGAAGACTGATGTATGTTGGAGCTCACCCTCGGGACACTTGCATATACCCATCTGCACTGGAGAAAACAGCAGGTTTGCAAGAGCGTGGTCTGTGGGTTTAAATTCATGCCGGCTTGTTTGATGCTGGGACTGATCCTGCAGAAACCTGCCTGTGGACTGAGGTCTGCAGCCAGAGCAGGCAGGAGCAGTTGGGGATGGAGCTTACACAAATGCAGGGTCAGATCCTTCCACGCTACAGATAGTAGGAAGCAGGAGAGAGCAGAGATGAATACAAAGCAAAACATCTTTTTAAATACGGTGAGTTACACTGATTTTTTTTTTTTGTCCAAAGGACAGACTGTATGTAGGTAACAGCCCTCTGTACCGTAGCAGCCCCAAACCCGTGTTTGTCCTTCATTTATCTGATCTGAGTTTGGTTCCTGCCTCTTCCCGCGACCGGGGGGCTCCTCGGGGTGAGGCTGGGGACGGTGACGGCTCCCCGGGGATGTGACAGTGTTCAGAATGTCACCGAAGGCACACGTGCCCACTCCCTGCGTGTTTCTTTCTTATCGTGGGATATTCGTTCCCTCTGCTTCGTGCTGCTTCACCTAAAATATGAAAACCTGATGCTTTGTGTCACACTCCTGGTGATCCGCTTCTGATGTTATTAAAGGAGAAACTTCTTCCCTCGATGAGACTCAAATCCTGCTCCTGTCCGAAGGAGAGGTTTGATGAAGAGCTGAGATGTCAGGGCTTTTCTTGGACAAATCCTGGTAAAAGCAGGCCAGGTCATGGAAGCTGCAAGCCCTGAGCCTGTTGCTTGACCAGGAGATAACCTCAAGATTCAGGTGCCACCTGCAGCCCAAATTTAGAGTAACCTGCCAAGAAGTGAATAAAACACATGTGAAATCCAAGTAGATGGAAACATAGAAAATAACCGAGTCCTGGGGATGGTTAGAAGTCTGTTAGACGTTCAAAACTCTCTGGTTTTCAGTCATTTTGAACAGTTTTGAGTTTTTCAGGCCAGTGTTTATCTAAAGAGGGCCCTCCCTTGGTATGGTGATGAGATGGAGCTAGCTGAAGCGCAAGCACAGTTAATTGGCCTGCAAGTTGCCAGTCAGCCTCCCAAGTCCTATAGGATTTCCATAAAAACAACGTTTCCCTATTTTTAAACATAAGAAGTAGTTTAGCGCGTCCCAACTTTCAGAGATGTACGGGAGGGAGGAGGAGTTGCAGCCCTGCCTCTGTGCTCAGCCTCCCGTGGGGTTGATTGCAAAGGAAGCAGCAAAGCTGAGGGGACTGATGTAAAAAAAAAAATAAGCTAAAAATAGAGATCTGAGAGCTGTCTCTCTCTCTCTCGTCGGACGATGAAGAAGCAGCTCACGAGAGCTGGCAGCATCCCATCCTGGAGCGGACGTCCTGCACCGGGAAATCTCCCGCTTGGTGTGGGGCGCGCCCGGGGCCGGGCGGCGCTGGCGCTGGCGGCGATGCTGCGAGGGTCTCGGGGGCTGCGGCGGCGGTTACTGCCACCAAGGGATTTCCTGGCAGCCCGGGTCGTGGTGTCCCTGGTGGCACAGGACGGGGGGGGGGGGGGCCGTGCCCGCTGCAGAGCGTCGCACCCCGGGAGCCCCTCCTTCCCTCAGCCCGAGCGCGTCTGCCCGTGTCCCTGCGGCTGGCGGCTCCTGGTCCCCAGCAAAGGGCCCTTTTGTGGAGAGGAGAGGGATTTTGGCCGCGGGGACTGGGCTGTGGGGGCCAGGCCAGGCCCTTTGCTGTCGGCTGGGCTGTGCAGCTGCGGGGAGGAGCTGGGCATCTTCCCCCTCCGCCTCCTTGGAGCAAAGGGTTGGCCAGCTGCTGGCTCGAGCATCCTCCTGTCTGCGGCTGTCACCCTGGGGATTGTTGTCCTGTCCGGCTTCTCATCTGCAGGGTCAGGGATGGAGGTGGCTGCTGGGGACCTGGGGGGGGGAATCTGCAAAGGGCTGGGCTTGGCTGAGGTTTGTCCGGGGTCAGGGTTGGGGACAGGCTGCGGGGCTGGGGCACGGTGCTGCTGGGGGAGGTGGGATGCCACGAAGGCTTCGTGGTCTCAGGGCGGCTGTCTGTGTTGCAGCCATCTCCTCTGAGGCGATTCGGGTTTGGATGGTCGGAACCAAAGTGGTTTTACCACCCCCCCCCCCCCCCCCCCCCCCCGTGGGTACAGGGGATGACGCAAAGCTCTGGGACTGCGTTTTGTCAAACCGGTGTCCTGGGGCGAGGGGAGGGGGAGTGGTGGGGGGCCCAGCTCTGGAGCCACCACGCGCCAGCGCCGGCTCTGCGACGAGCTCCCGGGCTCGCGAGGGCCGTGCCGGGTGCTGACGTGTCCCTTCCTCCCCTCCAGGCCTGCCGCGATTTCCTGGACTTGGCCGAAACTCACAGTCGGAAATGGCAACGGGCGCTGCAGTATGAGCGGGAGCAGAGGATCCGGCTGGAGGAGACCATCGAGCAGCTAGCCAAGCAGCACAACAGCTTGGAGCGAGCCTGCCGCGGAGCCCCCGGCCTGCCCGCCAGCAGCACCGGCGTCACCAGCACCGCCAAGGGTGAGCGCCGGGGCTGCGGAGGGGCAGAGCCCCGCGGGAAGCCCCGGGCCTTTCTGCTCGGTTGCTCCCACCAAGTCGGCAGCGATGGGAAGGATGCACAAGGCCGTGATCTCTGTGCTTGTGATTATTTTTTTTTTTTTTTTTTTTTTTTCAATGGATCCCATTACACTACAGTTGTCCCTAATTGTCCTGCTGCTCCTTGCTTGGGCACTTGGATGTCCCCAAGATAGGGATGCCGTGTCCCCAGCTCCCTCATGCTGTTCCAGACTGTTTGGTAGCCTTGAGCCTCGCCGGTGGGCACATCTCTGGCTGCTGGAGGGCAGCCACAGTGCTTGGAAGAAGCCCAGGGTCCCCTGGCACTGCTGAGTTCCCGGCTGCACGGGGTGACGGTGGCGCAGCCGGGGCTTATTTGCTGCTCGTAAGAGTTGCTGGACAATAAAATCTAACAGTTTCGCATGTTTGTGCCAAATCTCATTCCCGGTGAGAGGCATTAGTTATAGGTTGGTAGCCAAAAACTTCAAATAGTGCCTTGTCTTATTTTTAAATGATAGACTCAAGGGAGAGAACAGCAGCTGTTGTGGGGTTGATGGCAGTGCCAGGCACTGCCCTTGTTCATGTACAGCCTCAGGGAAACGGCCACCAGTTGTGCCAAGGGAGGTTTAGATTGGACGTTAGGAAAAATTTAATTCACTGAAAGGGTCGCCAAGCATTGGTACAGGCTGCCCAGGGAAGAGGTTGGGTCACCATCCCTGGAGGTGTTTAAAAGCCGTGTAGATGTGGTGCTTAGGGACGTAGTTTAGCGGTGGACTTGGCAGTGCTGGTTTAACGGTTGGACTCGATGACCTTAAGGGTCTTTTGCGATCTCAATGATTCTGTGATTCTGTGGCACAGGGAGGGGAAATCGCCTCGGGGAGAGGCACAAACCCCGCCTGACCCCATCGCTGCTGCTTCAGAGGAGCGTGGGCACGATGCAGGGAAGGAGGTTGCTGAACCCTGGCCAGGGAGCCGAGCCACCTGCGGAGCCGGGCGGGCCGCTGCGGCGAGGTGGCCGGGGCCGGGGTGGCCCTTCTGGTCCCTGCACGTGGCCTCAGCAGCGCCGCGCCGGACGCCCGCAGCGTCCCCCTTGCCGGAGCAGCAGCACTGCCCAGAGGCCTCGAGAGAGAGGCGGTCACCTCTGCCCCGTGCCCTGCGCCGGCGCGGCTGCTCGGGCGGTGGTTTTGTGGCCGAGCGGTGAAGCCCAGGGTCTCAAAAGTCACTGCGATCAATGGGGGCCCCCAGCTTCTTAGCGATCTCTCCCACCACAGCAGAGAAGAGGAAATGTTTGTAAGTGCGGGGCTGGAAAACCCAAGAGCCGGGGAATCTCTGAGCATCACCTAAAACACGTGACTTTTTTTTTTTTTTTTTTTTTTTTTCCTGCTTGGATCCAAGCTGGATTTCCCAGCAGACAGGGCGGTGCTGGAGCAGCAGCCGCGTTAGACGCGGTTGGGTGTGCGAGTTACGCGCGTCTGTCCGGCTCAGGCAGCCTGGTGGCATTTTTGGAGGTGCTCCCCAGCGCGGCGGGTAAGCCTTGTGTGCCTGGATTGGGGAGCAGGACACACGCTGCCGGGGTGTCTCCTTGCTTATAGGAGCTGAAAGTCGGTGTGGCATCCTCTCGTCGTGGAGCGGGGTGGAGAGGAGGGGGAGAAGCCGTAAGGGAAACAGCGTTGGAGGGGACACAGCAGGAGGAGGGTGGGCTCTGGGGACAGACTCGTAAAGGGAACCAGCAGCACTTGAGCATCTCAGACCCTTCGTGCCAACAGGGAGCGTGCAGTCTGCGAAAGGAGAGGCCAGTGATGAAGATGAAGAGACAGAGTATTTTGATGCCATGGAGGATGCACCAGCTTTTATCACTGTAACTGCAGATCCCAAGCACCACAGGTACGAGCCCCCCCCGCCCCAGGGCCACGTGTTACATGGGTCGGCCTGGCAAAACCTGCTGTGAGTGCAGCAAGAGCAGGGGAGAGGCAGTTTGCCTGGCGTTGTGCTTGGGTTTGAGGGCAGGACCCTCTCGCACGGGGTTCCTCTGCCTGCACATCCCCCAACAAATGGGCTGCCTCTGCCCAGGGCTCTGTACTGCGCCCACGAGCGAGGCTGAGGATGGCCCCAGCTGTAACAAAGCAGGTGAGGAAGGGCAGGCGTCAAGCCTGCGCTGTGGGAAAGCTGAGTCCTCTGCCCCAGCAGCTGATGTGAGCTTGGAGGTGAACCTGGGCAGGCACTTGGAGGGAGATCCCTTGGAGCACCGGGCAGGAGCAGGGAGTACCTTGCCATCGTCTGCCTTGACCTGCTCTTACACCTCCCTGGGCGTGTGTCTGGGCTGGAGGTGCCTGGGGTCTGAACCACAGGGACTTCGCCGCTCGCTCTGGCAAAAGCAGAGGCTCTCTGCCCCGTGGCTGGGACACACTGCGCTGAGCATCCCCTCCCAGCGCCCCTGCACGGCCTCTGTCATCCCGTTGCCTTCCTGGCAGCACCCTGGGGTGGTGCGGGGCGATGCTCTGGGTGATGTTGGCTGTGCTGCCCCAGCCTTGCCTCTTCTCCCCGCTTCTCTGCCCTTTCTTGTGTTTACCAGCTGGTACTTTCTTCCCTGCAGGCGTTCGGGCAGTAACCTGAGTGGGGCCAGCGAGGGCCACCCTGAGGACTGGAACCTGGAGGACAGTGTGAGTTGGCCGGGTGGAGCAGGAGAGATTCATCCTGGTGGGATGAAACTAGGGGTGAGGAGCAGGAGAGGAGGAGGTTGTTGGAGGGACTCTCCATCCAGGTGCCTCCTGGGCCTCCAGGACGGAGCAGCCTTGGTTGCTCTGTGAGCCACGGGTGCGGGACAGATGCCAGCAGTCTTCTAGCAGCACCCCAGACCCTCCTGTGGGAAGCAGGAAAGAGGATGGGGGGCAGGGGGGGCAATTGCACTGTTATTTCCCCCATGCCCTGGAGAACAGGCTTCCAGCGATGCTCCCCAGCACAAGTGCACACAACGTCTTCTGAGCTGTGACTCCCGGGAGCTGCCAGGTCTAGTTGGGTCACGCTGTCCAGCTTAAACCCGTGTTTCTTCTGTTGCTTCCGCAGGTTTTTGAAAGCTCAAATCAAAGCAGCTACAATGAGTCCACTTGCAAAGATCTCCTGCCGAAGAAAAGGAGACGGACTCGCATCCCTGACAAACCCAACTACAGCCTTAACCTCTGGAGCATCATGAAAAACTGCATCGGCAAAGAGCTGTCCAAGATCCCCATGCCTGTAAGTCAGCGTGGCCCAGGTGCCAGGGGCTGGCACGGAGGGAGCTGCCCCGATGCCACCATCGTGGGCTCGGTCCATGCACTTGGCTGTGCAAAGAATTTGGCTTACGGCCCCAGGCGGTCCTGCCAGGTGCTGTGGTAGCACAGCAGCCCCGGGCGGGATGGGAGCACGTCACCCGCTGCCAACCCCGGCCTGGGTGACCGGCTTTTGCACGGGCAGAGCCCTCTGAAATCTCCTCGCTCTTCTCCCCAGCCCTGCTCTGCAGCTCTGATGTGTCCTTGCTGCTCAGCTCTGCTGACTCTAAGCCCGAGGTTTTTCCCTGCAGTTTATTTGCTCCTTGAAATCATCGGTCTGCTGCCAGAAAGCCAGCACAGCCAGAAAGCTGAGCGAGCCAGGCAGGGGGAGGCTGTCCTCAGCAGCGTGGAGCTGTAGGGCTAATTGCTTTGTGGTAAACGGCTCTGATGTTGTGGCTGTTCCATGAGGGACTGCTTGAATTGAATCGGCTCTTTGGGACTGACGTGTTCTCCTGTGCCAGCTGTGGTGAGCCCTGGCAGCCTTGCTCACCTGAGTCCTGGGCTGAGCTGGAGCAGGGGGGACATTGCCCAAGTGTCCTCTGCAAATCCAGCTGTTGCAGAGGCCGGGAGGGAACCAGGACACCTTGAATCCCCGAGGATTTAAGCGTTTCTCCCAGGGGCTAGCAGAAGAGGCCTAGTTGCTGATCATGCAGTGTCCTGGGGCCACGATGCGTGGGGAGCAGCACCACCAGCACGGCAGGGCCGTGTTTTACCCCAGGGACGAAAAGTGCCATTGTTTTCCTTGCAAAGAGCAGCCTTTTAGTGAAGGAGATGCTGTGGGGACAGTGCGCTGCTGGGTTTGCTCCTTGGAGCGAAGGCTTCCTGCGGATGGTCAGGAGAGGGTTTGCTGCCAGGGCTCTGACTGCAGGCACCCCCCTCACATGGGCTGCCACAGGGGGAAAGTGGGATGTGCATTTAATTCCTGCAGAAGAATAACCCTCTGCCTCACACACCCAGATGAAAAGCAGCCCGCGCCAAAACCACAGCCATTTTTTTTCAGAGCAAACCAGCCCTTCCCAGGCTGCTGGTTCTCTAGCAGATCTTCAGCCCAGTAAGTGGCATGGATGGGACTGGGTGCTCTTGTAAGGCGCCCATTTTCCCCAAATCCATGAAGTCCTGGCAAGCTCGAGAGAGCTGTAAAACAGCTGAGGGTGACTGGGGGTTGCTGTGGTGCTGACTGGAGTGGAAGTAGCCCAGCAAAGCCCTGGAGCCGTATTCGGGGTCCTTCCTTTGCTGGGTAAAGGGGAAAGAGTGCGTAACAGGGGCTTGGATGCTGAACTGATTGTATTTTGTCTCTTCTTAAAGCAGTGCCTGATAGTTTCCGAGGAAGAGAGATGAGTTTGTCTGTTCTTTGTGCTATTTTCAGCCGAGATACACAGCCCAGCGCCGTCCGTTAGCGTATCTGCAGCAACATCAATATCAGATAAAGGCATGATGGCTACAGAAATAAGCTCAGGATGTGAAATACCCGCAGCTGCCGGTGCCCGGAGAGAGGAAATTTATACCTTCCCTATCAATCAAATCATTCCAGGAGCTGCTAAAGCCGAGTCCAAACCTGAGAGCAGTTTTGCTCACACAGCAGCCCCCGGTGCCGGCTCGGGGGATGTAATTACTCCTCGCCTCCCTGGGCCGAGCGGATCTGGTTTCCCGGCGCTGCTGCCTCTGTAAACTGCTCGGCAGAGCTCTGGGTTGTAAGGAAGGGGCTCAGCCGGGTGTCAGCCGCTCGCTGCCCGCTCCCCTCTCTGATATCCGTACAGATACCGGGGCAGGGAGGCGCTTTGCACCCCACAAGCTCAGCCGCACGGGGCATTTCTTTGGAAGATTTAACCCCGAGAACGGGCAGCCCGTGGTAAGGCAACAGGGGGGGAATTTAACCTCCTTTCAGCAGCCGCTTAAATCCATAGTACGTGTGCTTGGGGTGCAGGAGAAGCTGGCAGCTCTGTGAATGGAGATGGAGCTGCCGAGCGAGGGCGTTCGCGCTGGCGCTGGGGAAAAGGGGGCGAAGGAGGAGGAGAAGGAAGCGGAGCAGCCGGCTCCGGGAGGGCTGTTTGCAAGCGCGGTTAATTGTAGCACAGACTGCCGGTGAGCCTGCCGCGGGCACCGAGTGGGGGGAGTTTCTCCTTCCACGTGCTTCACCCGATTCTCGGCAAATAAAAAGCATTTCTGAGGCCCCGTCCCCTTCCTGGGGACGTGAGGGACCGAAAAACCTCTCCGTGCAAACAGCGCGCTCCTTAATTTTTCCGCTGAATGAACAAATCCGCAGCACTCAAAAGGAAGAAAACGGGGATTTTGCATTTTGGGTGGGTTCGTCTTCCTTCCTCCGTGGAAGGGTTTTGCTTTGCTGTTGCCTGAGTGGTGCTGGTGAAGAGGCTGCAGCTGCCGGCCTTGTTCTCGTGCCGCCTCCATCTCTCCTGAGAGTTGTCTGAAGCCAGCAGTGATCTGCTTTTTTGTGGGGATGCGATGCTGCCCTTTCTACTCAGCTCTTTCTTTCTCGGATGCTGAAATATCCCTGCTGCTTACAGGCTAAATCCCCAAGTGGAACAATCTGGAGTTTGTTTTCTGTAGTATGAACTAATGTAACTTGGCTTATAGAATTGGTTTTCCCATCCTTCAACCACCTACTACTCCTAAAATATATTTCTTTGTTCTGAACTGAAAGTAAGAAGTGAATTTCACGTGGTTTCGAGGCAGAAGACCTTTTGAGACAAAGCAGCTTCCTTTCAATTATTTTTTTTAATTTCTTCTCAGAACAAAAAATATCGCTGAAATGAACTGTGGGGTTTTTTTGTTTGTTTTTTTTTTTTTTTTCCCAGAGATGTTTGCAGCTTGTCCAGCCTGGCAATGTCCGGCAAAGTTTTCTAATTGACAGAGCAATGATTTGGGGGTGGAAACACGAAACCATTCAGGCTCTCCCAGGACAGAGCTCCCGGCTCCGCTCGCCGCCCCACGGGGCATCGCTGCCACCGCTGCCTCTAGCTCACCCGGGGAAGCTCGAGTGCCGCCGTGGGGCTGCAGTCCCAGGAGCAGGGAGACCCTGCAACGGGGCTTTTCACAGTTTTCCGAGCAACTGGGCTGCAGCCCAGCGTGGGGGTGGCTGTGCCAGGAGCCGATGGAGGGCAGCTCAGGGAGCAGCGCACCTCTGCCCCGTGTCGCCTCTTGCTCGTGGGCAGCGGGGTGCTGGCTGGGGGGCAGGAAGGAGCTCGTCTCGCCTCTGAGGCTCATTTTGGGGGTCGCTAGTGCTCCAGCAAGATACCTGGGACCATACGTGGTTAGCTCGTGAGGGGTTGCCAGCTCCTCAGCACATCTCAGCTGGAACTTCAAACTTCGTGCTCCCGTGGTACGGTTCGGGGAGCAGAGCATGTCTTTCTTGCCTGTATTTAACGTTCGTGTGAGGCAGCAGAGGCAGCGTGTGTGCAGCGCGCCTTGGCCCCTCCAGCCCCCCCGGCCACGAGCTGCCCTGTGGGGCTGCTGCTTCGGTTTGCCTGTCTGCCCTGGATCCCGGGCTCTCGGAGCACGTGGCACCGTGCTCGGAGAGCTGAACGTGCGGGATGCCGGTGGTTAGCGGGGCACAGTGCTGGGGGGAAAAGGGGCAAAGGGTGAAGTGCCTGGCTCGGGTGCTCTCCTGCTTTGCTAACACTCACTTGTTCCCCTCCAGGTAAACTTCAACGAGCCGCTCTCCATGCTGCAGAGGCTGACGGAGGACCTGGAGTACCACGAGCTGCTGGATAAAGCGGTCAAGTGCGAGAGCTCCACGGAGCAGATGTGCTTCGTCGCTGCGTTTTCAGTGTCTTCCTACTCGACAACTGTCCACCGCACCGCAAAGCCATTCAACCCGCTGCTGGGGGAAACCTATGAGCTCGACCGGCTGGAGGAGTTGGGTTTCCGTTCCCTGTGCGAGCAGGTGAGCTGGGGTCTGCGGGGGGGGGGCTCTGTGGGTCTGCCCCACGGCTCGTGTCCAGCCAAAGCAGAGGAGACCCAGCATCTCCTCGCGCCGAGGCTTCCTCCTGCCCTCCACGTCGCGGCTGGCATTGGCAAGAAGCAGCAGCAGGCACAGCCCAAGCCGTTTTTCAGCAGCAGAGCCTGCTCATCCCGGTGTTGCGGAGCAAGAGGTGGGGAAGAAGGGGAGGAGAAAGGTGTTCAACACCCTGCCAGGTCTCCTGAGCGCCTGCCTGGAGCTGGGGTTGCTGTCCCATCTCGACACTTGAGCAGAAAAGGAGAAGCTGTCCTCACCTGAGCTCCCTCATAGCTATGCAGGGATGCCCCCAAACTGTTTCAGGGTGTCTTTGAACATTTGAGAGTGTCTCAAGGTCTCCTTTCTTTCTTGTTGGACTGAAAATTTTTAGTTTCAGAGCCTGGGGGCAACCCGAGAACCTCTGACAGTCCCATGCTGTAACCACGGAGCACATCTGGCACACATCAGTCAAACAGCAGGTCTTAATTAAAAACCTGGAGTGCTTAATGAGTTGTGACCTGTGAAGAAAAGAGACTGTTTAACATTTAGCACGCTTGGCTGGTCCGTCCTGGATTCCTGGGGAGGGACGGGGCCATTTATCACCCCTTTCAGGCAGGACATCACTTTGGCGGGGGTTCTCTCTTCTCCAAGGGGTGGCCGTGCCATCTCCGGGACAGACCGACCATCTCATCTTCCAGTGTTCAGAAGCAGCAAACAAAATCACAAACCTCTCTCAGTCTGCAGAGGCCGATGCAGGTCCAGGATCTGCAGAGCTGTTCTGAGACCCCGCGGGCTTCTTGGAGGGGCGTTGCACGGGAAAAGGGCCTTGCTGCCCATCCGGCCGTGCTGTGTGGTGCTCACAGCAGATGTCGGGCGCGCTGAGAATACGCAGGGAGGAGGCTCAGGCTTGTGCCAGCATCCCCGTGTCCCCCAGGCGTGGTTTAGCTTGTCCCTGTCCCTTGTCATCATCTTCTCCAAGTCACGGCCCTTCATACCCGGGGTTGGAGCAGCTGCTGTCGCAGGCTCCGTGTGGGATGTCAGCCGCCTTTGATCGTCCCCGGTGACGCCCACGTGGGCTTGGGAGCTTGTGCCCTTGGCTGCAGCGAGCCAGGACACTGCTGACCAGAGTGTTACGAGCTTCGGCTGTGAGCGCACCTCACCCTTCGTGCTCTGCCCGGCGCCTCGCCTGCGCCCGGGAGGCGGGTCAGGGGCGGCAGCGTCCCTCCAGGCACCCCCCGGCACGTCGCCGGGAGCGTTGCAGAGCTCAGGCTCACCCTCCTCAGCAGCCTCGCACCTTCACCTCCCCTCCCCTCGCAGCCGTTCCCCTGTTCTGCTGCACAGCCAAATTCCCCAGCTGGCTTTATTCGCAGCAGAGACAGACCAGGGGGTCTCTCTTCTCCAACACCTCCCTGGTGCCCTGTCTCCCTGGGCTCTCAGCCTGCTGCTATTCCTTACCAGGATGCTCAACCCAGCCCTTAACCAGCCCCACCCCTCCTCCTCCCCGGGGTACCCTCAGAACAACAGGGTGGGTTTATTTACCCTCGTTTGGGCCACGGTGATGAAACCCAGTGCAGCCTGTCAGGTACTTCTGGACAGCCCTGGCCACGTCACTCCCACTCCTTGCTATCCCTTTATTCATTCTTTCACTCTCATTTTCAGCACCCTCCTTCCTTCCATCCCTGCCCTCTCCCGAATAAATGACCTGCCCTGAAGTACTTTTTCTGGTTGGTCCAGGTTTTCCTACACCTGTACCCAATTTTGGTATTTCTGACGCCTCCACGTTAGCTGAGCTGCAAGCCAGCCCGACCCCCCAGGGCGCAGCCGTCCTGCCTGCTCCTTGAGTCCTTCCCTTGCTGGCCCAGCACAGGAGCTTCATCTGAAATGAGGGTTCCTGTAACTCGGAGCAAACCTGCTTGCTTGCAGCACTCGGGAGCCTTCGGTCTCCCTCCTGGAGCCATCTCAGAGGGCACGTTTCGGCGACAGCGCGGCTCTGCACCGGTGCGGCGTTGCCCCTGCCTCTTGCCCTGGTTGCTGCGGTTGCTGCGGGCAGCGTGGGACGGACAGACGGACGCCCTTCCCACTGCTCTGAGCTTCCCTTGCGTGCTGCCTGTGCTGCTCAGCCCACTGACGCACAGAGCAAAGCGTTGGGAATCCCGTGCCTGAAATCCAGTTACCCAAATAGGATTTTCTCCTGCTGGTGGCAGCGGGATTTAACGGCGAGGTTTTTGCTCTGCTCGTGTTTGTAATCCAGTAGCTCGGGGTGCTCAGCCTGTAATTCTGTTGGTGCAAATGGTCTCTGAACTCAGTGGCGTGGCTGTCGGGGCCCGGTGGTTAGCGGGTTCCCAGTGATGGGGGGGATGTTCTGTGCTGGAGCGCCGCAGATCAGCTGGCTGAGAGGCCCCGGGAGGGCAGCGCCCTGTGGCTGGGGTGTCCTGCTCCTGCCGGGGTGTCGGGCAGCTTTCCCAGTGCATGGGAGTGTGAGCACCGTCCTTTCACAAGTCATCCCCAGGGGGGAGGATGCTATATCTGCTTTTCCAGCCCAGCGTGTCTGTAAGGGCAAAGCCAACGTCTTGGCTGGGCAGGTCTGTGTGTCTCGGACAGCTTGGGGACCTGCGTCCCCCAGGAGTTCCCAGGCAGAGCAACGGGAGCCACTGCTGGTAGAAGTGCTGTTACATCGGGATTACTGGGGATTTAGGCTGGGTGTCGACACATCCCTCTTTTCAACCAGGGTCTCTGGAGAGCGGGGCTGTGTGCTGGGGTTGCAGTACAGCATCGTCTCACAGCGGTAGTTGCTCAAGTTAAGATTTTATGGATGATGGTTTGTTAACGAGCCATAGAAAATCCCGGCAGGAGCTTGGTACACGGCTGCACGCTGCTGGGGTGCCTCACGGGAGGTCACCCCAACGCCCAGGAGAAGACTGGGGTGCACAGGTCAGCGCATGGGAGCATCCTTGGGGCCAAAGCTGGTGTGGAGCTATTGCCTCTCCTGGGGGAGTCATGCCGCGAGCGCTCGCCAGGGCTCTCCGGTGCTGGTGGCTGTGACCTTACGCGACGTTTCTCCTCTCCCCCAGGTGAGCCACCACCCCCCGGCAGCTGCCCATCACGTCTACTCCAAGCGAGGGTGGACTTTGTGGCAGGAAATCACGATCGCCAGCAAGTTCAGGGGCAAATACCTCTCCATCATGCCACTGGGTAGGTGACTTGGGCTGAGAAGATCGGGGCTTGGTTTTTTTTTAACTCTGCTGCTCCTGCAGTACCCAAGAGGTTAAAGCAATGTGCCGGTCCCTTGGCCTCACATAGGGCTCAGTGAATTCCACCCGGAGCGATGTAGGGAGCACAGGTATGTGCTCCCAATCACGGACAATCTGATGGTAACTCGCCTGCCCTGGAAGTGGAAATTACCCCAGCTGCAAAGGGAAACTGCTTTGCTTGTTGCTCGCACCGTAGCAGATGTGCTTTGGGAATATCCCGCTTGCCTATGAATTGATTTCTCTTTAAATGCTATTTAAAGGTTAGCTTGCTGACTGTTTTAACCCTCTCCCTGGAAGCCAGATGTAATAAGCCGCCTGCTTCCAATGTTTTATTTGTCTTCTGCCTATCCCTGGGCTGGGCAGTACGCCCGGGGCTGGTCCCAGAGCTGTGCTGGTGCTCGGCTGGTCTTGTGACACTGCGAGTCAACCAGGCAGCACGCTTCTGTCCTGTTTTTAAAATCAGGGCTTTTTTTTTGGGAGGCGGGGAAAGGGGCAGAAGGCCTTGCAGGTGTTGCAGCTCCCTTACTGCAGCAGGCCACGGAGTGTGCAGCCAGGGGAGGGATGAATCCAGCCCCAGCCCTGGTTGGGGGGCTGATGGTGGGAGATGCAGCGGAGGGGCCGGGCCGGCTCCGGGGCCGAGCGTGGTGCCGGGGTGGTGGTGTGCTCCAGGGGAGCGTGCCCGCAGCCCTGCCCAGCCGCCTCAGCTCGGGGCACCCCTCTCTCCGCAGGCGCCATCCACCTCGAGTTTCACTCCAGCGGGAATCACTATGTCTGGAGAAAAGTCACCTCCACTGTTCACAACATCATCGTGGGCAAGCTCTGGATTGACCAGGTCGGTGGCTGACGGGTCCGAGGAGATGGGTCCTGCCCGGCCTTGCCTGGCTCCGGGGCAGGGCAGGGGGCTGGAAGGGCACTGCCCTCCTGGGGTGCTGCCCGGTGTCCCCACCGTACTCCTCCGGCGCCAGGAAGGTGTGCTGCCCTGGCAGGGATGGGGGAAGGCTTCTTGGAGCTCCTAACGGCTCTTCCCAAGGCCAGCAGCTCCGTGGGGCAGGGTGGTCGCACGTGTGATGGGTTTTACCCTGCTGCTGGCGAGTCGTGGGGCTGGTGGGGGCGGCTGCAGCTGGTGTTGATTTGTACCTGCACGAACTACAACTAACGCCTGATTTGTCTCCTTGCAAAGTCTCTCACTCGCTGTGGTTCTGTGTCTTTCATCTAGTCTGGTGAAATAGAGATTGTTAACCATAAGTCAAAAGATAAATGCCAGCTGAAATTTACCCCCTACAGCTACTTCTCCAGAGACGTCCCCCGAAAGGTACGTATCCAGCTATCTCCTTACTCCTTCTGGCAGCCTTGTGTGGGGTGAGATCTGGCTCTTACCTCTAAGCCAGGCTTATGGGGTCCCTGTACTGCAGCTGGGATGAGCCCCAGCACGGGGCCAAGTTGCTGCGCTGGCGCTTCTTGCCGTGGCTCACCGGGGAGGGCTGGGAGGGGGAGACTTCCAAACCTAGCCTGTGTTTTGGCTCTCCGCGTGCCAAGAGCTGCAGCACTGAGACCTGGAAAGGATTTGATGGGCTGGAGACCCACGTGCATGGCCCACGCTCCCCCCGGACACTCCCTGAAGCCACGCAGGACCCGGTCCAGCTGCTCCGGCTGGGGCACCTGGAGGGTGCTGTGCCCCCTGCACCTCTCCCTGTCCTCTGGGCATTTCCAAACGCCACCGGCACCATCTCCTTCTGCCAGGTGACAGGGGTGGTGAGCGACGCCGATGGTAAAGCCCACTACGTGATGTCCGGCACGTGGGACGAGAAGATGGAGTGCTCCAAGATAGTGCAGAGCAGCCACGGCAGCACCAGCACGGAGGGCAAGCAGAAAACCGTCTACCAGACGCTGTCCCCAAAGGTCTTGTGGAAGAAGTACCCGCTCCCGTGAGTCCCCTCCTCGGCGCGGGGTGTTGCACTCGGGGGGGGGGAGGGGGTTGCAACAGCCGGACGGGGATCAACCGCCGAGCCCCGCGGGGTGGAGGGGGGCTCGTGTGCCCAGCCCTGAGGACGTGGGGAGGGGAGGACCAGGACGGGGGGGTGTGGGCGTGGGGCTTTTTCCCGGGGTGTGAGCACAGAGCAGGAGGGGAGAGCAGGTCCCTGCGAGGGGGTGGTGGCGTTGGGGGACGCTTGCAGGTAGGTTTTGGGCAGCTGGGGGTACTGGTTAGGGGTTTTTTGGGGGGCTGCTAGCTATGGCCGGGAGATGTCTTGGCTGCTTTGCCTTGCTGGTGAGCCCCTGGCCGTCCTGTCCCACCAGTCACTTTAGCCCTCTGGAGATGTCCTGGCTGCTTTGCCTTGCTGGTGAGCCCCTGGCCGTCCTGTCCCACCAGTCACTTTAGCCCTCTGGAGATGTCCCCTCTCGACACTCTTACCCACAGCAGGGCCGCTCTCAGAACAGTCTCCAACCCTCGGTAGCACCAAACAGCTGGTCCCTGCTTTGGAGACGCTCTGTTGGAATGGTCCCCTGTGGAAAGCATCCTCTGCTCGGTGCCACCAGTTGGGTGTTCAGCAGCTCTCGGGTGAAGCTGTTTCATGTCTCTGCTGTGCAATGCAGCTCTCGGAGTTCGTAGCCTTGGCTTTTAGCTTCCCCGTGCAGAGCCAACAGAGGAAGGATCTGTGTTCCCCTCCAGGACGCCCATCGAGGTGCCGTCGGCGTCTCCACTCAGAGGGTGGGAGGCAGGGCTCCCCGAATACCCGCCGCATGTCTGGTTTGGGGTAGCAGGAGCAGCGTCAGTGGGGCTGGGCTGAGGCGCCAGGGCGCAAAAGGGCCGGGGAGCTCTGCTCGGGGTGGGCACCGCCTCCGCCGCCCTGATCGCGAGGCTCTCCGGCCGCAGGGAGAACGCCGAGAACATGTATTTCTTCTCGGACCTGGCGCTCACCCTGAACGAGCCCGAGGAGCGAGTGGCCCCCACGGACAGCCGGCTGAGGCCCGACCAGCGGCTGATGGAGAGCGGCCGCTGGGACGAGGCCAACGTGGAGAAGCAGCGGTTGGAGGAGAAGCAGCGAGCCGTGCGCCGGAGGCGGGAGGCCGAGGCCGTGGAAGCCCTGGAGGAAGGTGAGAGGCTTTGGGGGGGGGGGTGCCGGCGGGGCAGGGACCGCCTGCCCCCCTCGCTTGGGGGGGAAGGCCGCGAAGGAACCCCGCTGGGCTTGGGGGATGGAGAGGGAGGACCCTGCCGCCATTTGGGGGGGCTGGGGGCGGTGTGGGGACCCGCCGGCTTTCGAGGGGACGAGCAGCCCCTCAGTCTGCGTTTCTCCCCCGGGGCAGGCAAGGACTACGAGGGTTACATCCCGCTGTGGTTTGAGCGCAAGGTGGATGCCGTGACGGGGGAGCTGATCTGTGTCTACAAGGGCGGCTACTGGGAGGCCAAGGACAAGCAGGACTGGAGCGCGTGCCCCGACATCTTCTGAGCCGCCCCGCTCGCCTCGAGTCACCAGGACAGACAGAGGGACAGCGAGGACATGCTGGCAGCGTCCCGCCGGCAGTTAGCAGTGCAAATACACACGCAGAGTCAATACATGCAGAAATTTGAAAAGCAAATCTAAACAGGGATTCCAAACCTATTTTTTTACGCACTAATAAATAGCATCTTTTTTTTTTTTCTTTTTTTTTTTTTTTTTTTTTATGATGGCTTTTTCAGCGACCGATTAGGAACAAGGACACGTGAATCTGGTTTGTTTTTAGCCTAGCATATTTATTGCTATCAGGAGTTGCTGCCTATATCTTTCAGCGCCTCGGCTTTATCAGCTGAGACGTCGACTTCCAAAGACGCTCGCATTGTGGGGATGCTGTGCATTTGTGTGAGCTCTTTTCTTTGACATTACTTTTTTTTTTTTTTTTTTGTCCCCGTTTGTGTGTGGACTTTACGGAATTATTTTTTTAAAAAAAAAAAAAAAAAAAAATCTGCTCCTGGTTCAGGTTCCTTCAAAGACAGACACAAACAACCTTGGGTCCTGCTCAGAAAACTGCCTCCAGGGGCTGTGGCGCTCGATCCTGGAGGCTCTTGGTGGTTCCCGCAGTGCCCAGTCATCCCACTAACACCAATTAGGATATTTCAGCTGGTGGCTTTTTTTTTTTTTTCCCCCTTTTTCTTTTTTTTTTTTTTTTTGAAGAGGTGTTTGAGCAGATTCCCTGCAGTCTGCCGTGTTTAGTCGAGGCTTAGGATTGTCTTTCACATGATCCTTTGTGAGGGTGATTTGAGTGAGGTTTGGTTTGGCTTTCCTGCAACCACATCTGAAGGGGGGAAACGGCCTCGCTGATGTCGGGAACGCCCGGGGCGGGCACCGAGTGAAGAGGTTTATAGACCAGCGATGCTCCGGGCTCCGCGTACCGGCTCTCCCCGGCTCCGTGTCGCTCAGCGCGGGGGCTGGCAGGAGCCGGGACGTGCTGCTGGGTTTGCAGGCGGCTTCTCCCTGCTGAGCTCTGCCTGAGGCCGGGCGGGAGGGGAGGGAAGGAGCTTTTCCCATCCCCGTGTCTTCCCCACGAAGCCAGACAGGTTTGGGCTCCAGCCCCCTGGCACGGGGGTCCCGGAGGGCACCCGGTGCCCAGCTCCGTTCCTTCTCCTCCCTCGTGGCTGGTCTCTCCCGGGAGCAGTTTCAGGCGTCACTGAAGCAGGCTGAGCACGGGGCTGGGGGAACCCCGCGTCCCCCGCTCACCCCCGCTGCGTGCCATCACCTCGCTGCGGCCCTGGACCCGCCGGGAGAAGCGGAGTGAGCCCTGCTGCTGATGGGTGAGGAGCAGGAGCTTGGCACTGGCCACGCAGGCGGGACCCGCCGGTCCCCAGCGCCGCCGGGGAGGATGGGGGGGGTGGCAGGACCCCGAAGATGGGCCGGAGAGCATCAGGGAGACCCGGACACCCGCGTTCGCCCCAGCGGATCTCATTTTTGATGTCGTCTTCTCCGGGTGTTCATCATCTCACACTGACTGCTGCCTCGCGGGGGTCAGAGGCCACCCCTAGCCAGACTGTCACATCCACATTGGAAGATATTTAGCAATAATGAACTTTGAGGCAATGGTAACTGGAGTACCCAGGCTGCACATGGGACACTTATGCAATCAGGTTCCTCAACCATCAGTCTCCTCCTCCTGATCAGCTTCTCTTCCAGCACCTCCATACCTGTTAATGACAGCAAACCTACGTGTACAGTATATATAGACCTTGTGCAGCGTAACAGTAGTGAGTGGCTATTGGAGTGGCAACCACCCAACTGATTTCATTGTACCCTTTAATCTTATTTATTTGCTTCTAATTTATATATATAAATATATATAAAATTATTTTGCTTAAATTTCTATGGTACACAATAGATGAAAAATAATGAAGACAGAAGTGTCTGAGTTTTTGTAGCCCGAGTACGCTTTCCCTAGGCTTGTCCCAGAGGCAGGGTGTAGGGGTGATGGTGACAGAGTAATTCCCAAAGGAGAGAAGCAACACTTTGCTCCCAAACTGGATGCGATGGCATTCAAAAGACATTCCCTTCTAGAGACGATGCAGTCGGGGTTTGAAAGGCGGCGCTCGGGATCCCCCGCGTTTGGGAGCGGGGTGCTCCGAGCCGCTTCCCGGCTCTCTGGCCCTTCGAGCAGCCGCTCCGGCCCCTTCGCTCCTCCCAGCCCCTTCCCGGAGGTTTCCCCGGGGCTCGGGAAAGCCGCTGCAGCTCTGCCGTGATCCAACCCGCCGCTCTGGCTGCGGAGAGCTGCTGGGTGTCCCGGCCCGGGGCGTGCAGGTCTCCTTCGGAGACGGGCTTTCAGCCGCCGGGGCGAGCGGAGGATGCTCCGCACTGAACCTTGATGCCGCTCGCTTGGTTTGTGTAGGCGACCAAAATTGCCCGGGGGTTTTATTTCACTCAAGGCCTCGATCAGTTTTGCAAAACGGGCTAAAAATCGGGTTCTTCAGAAGGCCCTATTTTCCGTGTTTGCTCTGTCAGTGGAAGTGTTACCTGAGAACTTGGAGAGGGGAGAAACTCCTGCGCGAGCTGTTCCCAAACCAGGATCCGAGCGTTCCCGCAGCGGAGGAGAGCGGGGCGTGAGGTGTTGCTCAGTAAGTGCTGGCACCACGGGTCCTGCTGGGCTCTGGGACCCCGAGAGGGCCACTCTGATGTAACCCCCCGTCGCTGCGTCCATCTAGAAATCACCATCACAGACCCTGCACAGCTTAATGGAGCTCAGGGGAGCACGAGGAGCACCCCCCCAAAACAGAAATCCCCCATTTTTTAGGCTAATTTTAAAAACCGCTCTATCTTCCAGGGATCATGTAGCAGCAGCGCTTTAATCAGAGCACCATCTCCTGGTCTTTCTGTTCCGCCCCCCCCCCCCCGCCCAGAGGATTTTAATGTCATTCCACTGTAAATGCTGTTGAATGTATTTCTTTTTAAACAATATATTGTGAGTGATCCCTCTTCTCCTACACGGTAATAAAACTTGGATTCGGGAGTTTTAACAGCCGCGGTGCTGAGATGGTCACTCGCTCCCCAAGGCTGCAGGTGGGGGTCCGGGAGGAGCCCGGAGGTGGGTGAGCTCTGGGCATTCGTGGGGGCCTGGGCAGGTGCTGGATGGAAGGTGGGGTGGCCCGGAGGAGGGGATGGTCCAGGGAAGGGTGTTCAAAGAGGTTGCCCAGCGGAGGAGGGCTACGGGAGGTGGCCCAGAGGACGAGGACATCCAGGGAAATGGTTGTTGAGGGAAGGAGGAGGAGCGGGGAAAGGTTGCCCAGGAGAGGGGATGGTCCGGGGAAGGTGATTCAGGGTGGGAGGAGGGTCAGGAGAGGAGATGGCCTAGTGGAGGATTGTCCAAGGGAAGGTTGCCCGGGGCGGGGAGGTCCAGGAAAGCAGGAACATGAGAGGTGGCCCAGGGGTAGGTACCCGTGGAAGGAGGTTTTCCAGGAGCAGTAGCTTAGAGGAGAAGGAGAACTGGGGAAGGGGGTTGCCTAGGGAGGGAGGAGGGCCAGGAGAGGAGCTCATGCAGGGAGGAGATGTCCCGGTGGAGTTTGGCCAAGGGAGAAGATGGGTGCCCAGGGAAGGAGGAACAGGAGAGCTGACCCAGGGGAAGGTGTCCAGGTAGGAGTTTCTCTGGGGATGATGGAAAGGAGATGGCCCAGGGGACGTTGTCTGGGGCGGGTGGTGGCCAGGAGTAGGTGGCCCAGGAGGGGAGGCCGGGGGGGAGCGGGAGGAGGGTCTGGGCAGGGGCTGTGGAGGCGGGGGGGGAAAGCCCTGGGCAGGCTGGGACGGGGTGGCCGCTGCAGCATTTGCCAGGTGACAGGCGCACACTGCGCTGCCTGTCCAGCTGTCCCGCTGTCCCGCTGTCCCGCTGTCCCGCTGTCCTGCTGTCCCGCTGTCCCGCTGTCCCGCTGTCCTGCTGTCCCGCTGTCCTGCTGTCCCGCTGTCCCGCTGTCCCGCTGTCCTGCTGTCCCGCTGTCCCGCTGTCCCGCTGTCCCGCTGTCCTGCTGTCCCGCTGTCCTGCTGTCCCGCTGTCCTGCGGTCCCGCTGTCCTGCTGTCCTGCTGTCCCGCTGTCCCGCTGTCCCGCTGTCCCGCTGTCCCGCTGTCCTGCTGTCCCGCTGTCCCGCTGTCCCGCTGTCCCGCTGTCCTGCTGTCCCGCTGTCCCGCTGTCCCGCTGTCCTGCTGTCCCGCTGTACTGCTGTCCTGCTGTCCCGCTGTCCTGCTGTCCCGCTGTCCCGCTGTCCAGCTGTCCTGCTGTCCCGCCACCCTGCCTGCCCCAGCCCAGCTTGGCCAGGTGAGCACGGGGCGGGGCTGGGGTGGGGACCCCGGCACTGGGACCCACTCAGCCGCGGTGACAACCTGCCGGGCGGTGGGCAGGAGCCTCCCTGCCCGCTCCGGGTGCAGGCAGCGGGGCCCCGGGCACACGGCACCGGGGCCGAGGTCCTCCAGCTCCTGGGTGCAGCAAGCGTGCCGGCGTCTTGACTTTGCTGAAAGGCAAACCTCTGTGCCCTGCAGCACCTGCAAACCCACCCGTCGCCCCCGCGGCGGGGCCCTCCGCCTGGCACCGCGGCTCCGGGAGGTGGGTGGGCTGCGCTCTGGCGTTCTCAGCACGTTCACTCTGAAGCCTAATGAGTTCCTGGGGGGGGCTTCCGGAGCACGTTACCCTCACCTTGCCTTGTGTTGCAGGCCTGGGTGGGGGGCATGGAGCTGGAGGAGGCTGTCCTCAAAGGCCAGGAACGCAGTAAGGCTCACATGCCTGGCGTAACGCCCAGAGCGTGGGGGTCCCCAGCTCTCCCCCAGCCCAACTCACCTTTGCTCCCTTACTGGTCGGGCTTGTCCCATCCATTCCAGAGCGGAGTGGTTTGCGAGCCCAAGGTGCAAGAATCCAGGGCTGCTGCCTGCTGCTGTCCCCACTGGAGTAACCCCCCAACATGGGGGATTTTGCTCTCCCCGCCCCCCCCAAGAGCTTTTAACCCACTGCTCTGTCCTGGCCAGCAGCGCCTCTTTCCTCCGCTCTGCAGAGCTGGACCCGGGGAAGCAGCCGGGATTTGCAGGATCTTGGGCGAGGGAACGCCGGGACCGTGGGTTGGAGCCCACCGATGCCCAGCTCAGCCCAGGTGTGGGGCGCGGGAAGCGGGGAGAGGGGTCACGTTGTGGGGGCTGAGATGTGGGGGGGGTTTGCAGTGGGACCACCCAAGGGACGATGCAGCACCAACACCGGGGTGCCCCTGCCTTGTCCCACCCCCCGGTGCACTGAAGTTGGGTGAACACCGGGCGCGGGTGATGCCCCACGCTCTCCCTCTGCAGCGGCACGGCGCGGGTGCGCAGGGCACCGGCAGCACCAGGCTCCGTGGCCTCTCTCCCAACACCTTCCTCGCTGGCTCCTGGATGGCTGGTGAGTGAGGACGGGGCACTTTGGTCCTTCCTCAGCTCTGCTTTGCTCCCCCCAGCCCGCCAGGCCCAAACCCTCCTGCCGAGCGACTCCTCGCTGGGGACTAGCAGATGCGCTGATGCTCCCGCAGAGGATTTTCCAGCTATTTAAATAAAACAACAGCGCAGCACAGAGACCGAAATAGCAAGTGCTAGGAGAGCAAAATTGTACCCTGGGAAATGTTGCTGGAGGGGATTTGCGAAGATGCACAGGGCAGTTTGGGACTGGGACTGTCCCAGTGGGCAGTGGCTTCCCATTTTTTCGCGACAGGAGAGCTAGCAGTGTCCCAGCCCTGTGCCCTGCTGCCCCGGCAAGCCTTCGCACTGCGCCCGCCGCTGAGCTGTGCTGCTGCAACCAGGAGCATCCTTCAGGGTGAAAAATTACCCTGGATTAAAAAAATCATCAGAAAAAGAAAAGGATGATATTGTGGCTTTTGGAAGAAGTTGAGGTTAGGGTTTTGCTGGAGAGGGTGGGATGCCTTCGGCGTTTGAGGTGCACACCAGATGCTCCCTGGTGAGAACAGGCATTGCTGGCCCCCTCCCAGGCTGGTTCAGATCCAGGTGGATGGGACGGCTCCTTCCCCCCCTGCCCGGGTGCAGGGGAGGCTCACGGCTCTGCTCTCCCACGCAGAGCTGGAAGGACACCGTGCCGGGTGTCCCCGGGGTGACGCCAGCCCCAATCCCACGGGAGCAGCGCTGCTGGGGGTTGGCTCAGCTCCTCGGCTCCCAGCCCAGCCCGGGGAACCAGAGCACCTCCAGCTCCGTCTGCACGGAGGACTTCGCTGCCAGGTTTCGGGAGGCCATGGTGGAGCCTCTGCTGTTCTCCGAGGAGGAGGAAGATAAGCTCCCTGAGTGGGATGTCCCCTCTGAGGGATATGAGCCCAGGCAGGATGAATCCTTGCTCCTCGCAGGGAGAAGACTGGATGTTGGTCGACAGTTGGCGGGGGAGCCGGGCAGACATCTTTCGCAGGGCAGGTCTCCGCTTCTGATGAGGAGGGAGAGCCTGGAGTCTCTGGGAGGACAGATATCCAGACTGAGCCAGAGCGATGCTTTGGGGATGGCCTGGGGGGGTCCCTGGCCAGCCCCCTCCACGCAGCCGGCCCTGGGCTGGGAGGACTCTCCCCGTGGGTGTCCATGCTCGGGGGAAGAGCTGTTGGCCATCGCCCTGTGCAGTGAAGACCCAGCTGCTGGGTGTCCCCGGAGGGCCCCAGGCACCTCTGCCAGCAGGAACAGGGCTGGGGCAAGGGGGGGGGGGCTCTGCCACCGGCTCTTTGCCAAGGGCCAGCGGTGCCAGGACCAGGGGACAAGCAACCAACAAGCCCCTGGGCCCCGGATGGCAGGAGCCACCGGCTCTCTGGGGCCGGTGTGGAGGGGACATCACTCTTGATGTGGATGATGAGGAGAAGGAAGGAGCAGGCAGCAGGCAGAGAGCTCCCTGCTTGGCTCACTGTGAGTCTGGGGTGCTGGGGCAGTGCTGGAGGAGGCTGGAGGGCTGGGGCCAAGCAGGGGGAAGGGACATGGCTGGGGACGGGCTCTCCAGGCAGGTGCAGTGAGCTGTGGGCAGGGCACAGTGGCAGGGACCGGCCCCAGCTGCTCATGGGGTTTTCTGGGGTGTGCAGCCTCCCCCCTGCAAAATGCCATTTTTTCCCTGTAGGCACCGACACAAAAGTGGGACCCCCTGGGAGATGCGAATCTGGGGCACATGTGTCACCCTGCCCAGGAGGAGCGGCTGGGTCCTGGTGGCAGCGTGGGAAGCAGAAAGCCGTGCTGCCCTGCGAGGTACGTCGCTGAGCTGGCTGTGCCCTGCGGTGCGGGACAGTGGGATGGGTGTTTCTGCCACCCAGGCGACAGCCCCGGCTGTGGCAGGATGCCCTGGGTGGTCAGTGATGGGTGAGGGGACGGCTCCTGGCTCTGCTGTCTGCCAGGGTGCGGAGAGCAGAGGGGATGTGGCCAGGAGACCAAACCTGGCCCCGGTCCTTGGGTCTGATGTGGTGGCTGTGGAAATGCGCGGCGAGAGGAGCAAATGGGGTTGTAACCCCGCTGCTGGCTGCCAGCCTGCAGCGGGGCGGCCAGCGTCGCTGCACTGGTCCCTGCAGAGGAGCCAGGAGGGGACACGAGAGCTGGGATCTGCCGCGAAGGGGACTCGGAGCAAAGGAGACAGGGCCAGGTACGCCGGGGGGCTCCAGGGAGAGGATCCTGCACCGAGGCTGGAGATGTTGCTCAGGCATTCCTGCAGATGCCCGCCAGCGTCCTGGGAGCAGAAGGTAGCACGGGAAGCCCAAGAGGGTCCTGGACCCCTGGGTGCTGGGTGGGCGTCCCGTGGGGTCCCTGCCTGCGGAGCCGGGGAACGGTGCGGATGGGGACGTGGGTGACGGTGTCCCCGGCGCAGGGCTGCCCTGGCGCTGCTGGCGCACACCCAGGACACTGGCTGTCGGGACCCGATGGACCTGGAGAGGATGGTGAGGTGACCCTGAGATGGCCAGAGCAGGGGCCGGCCAGGCACAGCCACAGGTGGCAGGGAGAGGTTGGGGGGTGCCCTGGGTGGGCCGGGGGGACGGCAGGCTGCAGGGGGCTGTG